ATTTCGCTTGCTACACCACGAATTGATGATGTAGTACATCACACTAATGGGCAAATCGTCAATGCAATGCTTAGACAAGCATTTGCTAAATCATTAGAGGTCTAACTTGTTGATCATAGTAATATGTGCCATGAAGGTATGCCCATATCCGAGTTCCTTGCCGATGATGGATTTCATCTGAATGAAAAAGGTACCTCTCAATTGGCTGCAAACATGAAAAGAATGATTCATGCCACCCTTAACATTCCGTTTCCGTATAGAGAGAGATCAGACTGGAGTAGGTCACACAACAGACGAGGCCGAGGACAAGGTCGAGGACAAGGTCGTGACGATAATAACTTATACATTACACTTAATTTTTGAGTAACAATAGTAAACGTTAATTATTGTAAACTTACATAGCTCAATTTGAAACTCTCACTACATTTTTGATTTTTGCAATGATGTTCCCATTTTTGACACATATCAATCGGATAGACAGATTTTACTTAGAAAAAGTTATGATACAGAAGTTAACACAAGGGGAAAAGATCTAATTGATTTGTGTATTAGTCATCAATTAAGATTTTTAAATGGTAGAATTATTGGTGATTTATTTGGTAAATATACATGTTACAAACCAGTAGGTGCAAGTGTTGTTGACTATGCAATCATGTCTGAGAGTGCTCTCAACCAGGTGTTATATTTTAAAGTTAATGATTTTATACCTACATTGTCAGATTGTCATTCAAAAATTGAATGGAAAATGTCAGCTCATTTTACAACAACTCATGAAGAGGTAAATGATAATATTTTGCCTTTATCATGCAACTTTGTATGGTCAGATGATTCTTCAGACAAATTTCAAGCTGCGTTGTCTTCTATTGATATTCAACATATGAATTTTGACTTTGAAAAAAGTACTATTCAAAATTCACCAGACTCTTTAAATGCTGCTGCAATTAAATTATCTAACATCTTCATTAATGCTGCAGATAAATCTCTTCGAAAACCTAGACCCCCCCAAAAAAATAACAAAAAACAACAGCCACAAAATAACTGGTTTGATAATGATCTAAAGAAAATGAGAAATAATCTTTTTAATTATAGTAAAGTATATTCCAAAGTTCCAACATATCCATATGTAAGAAATCATTTTTATAAATTAAACCGTGAATATACAAGAGCAAGAAAAATTAAAAAGAAAGAATTTAAAAAATCTATACATTTAGAGTTAGAGGGGTTCCATGACAATAACCCAAAATTGTATTGGAAGCTTATAAACGATCTTCAGAATAAAAGTACATGTAATCTAGAGAATAACATATCTCCGACTCAATGGATAAAGCATTTTCAGGACCTCAACTCTTTCAGTTTAGAATTTACAGATCGTTTAAAAGAACTTGATAAAAAGCTAGAAGATGCTGAAAAAAAATAAATGTTTCAATGAACTAGACTTTCCAATAAAGGACTCAGAAATATATTCTGCTATTGGTAGATTAAAAAGGGATAAAGCTCCTGGGTTAGATCATATTAGCAACAACATGTTGAAAAGTGGTCAAAGTTTCTTAACAAAATGTTTAATTAAATTGTTCAATACCAGTTTATTATATGGTTTATATCCTAAATCATGGGCGGAAGGATATATAAAACCACTGCATAAAGGTGGTGATAAAGATGAACCAAGTAACTATAGAGGCCTGACAATCACCAGCTGTTTTGGTAAATTATTCAATTGCATATTAAACTCTAGATTGGATTTTTTTTTAATAAAGCATAATCTAATAGATGACTCTCAGATTGGTTTCACAAAAAGGGCTAGAACATCTGACCATATGTTTATCTTAAAATGTATTATTGATAAATATTGTTCACATAAGGATGGTAGAGTGTTTGCCTGCTTTGTTGATCTAAGAAAGGCTTTTGACACTATAATTCATACAGGATTACGACTTAAACTCTTAGAAATAGGGGATGGTACTAAATTTTATAATGTTATTAAGAATATGTATTCTGTAAGTAAATCTTGTATAAAAACAAGTAACACTGCTCGCACTGAACTGTTTGAAAGTAAATTGGGAGTTAAGCAAGGCGACAATCTAAGTCCTAACTTGTTCAAAATTTTTATTAATGACCTTCCTTTATTATATTTAAACAAACATCGGATCCGCTTATACTAAACTCTCGGCCTATACATTTGTTTGATGTATGCAGATGATATTGTTCTGCTCTCTTCCTCATCGCATGGTCTTCAACAAAAACTAGATATTTTAGATAAGTTTTGCAAACAGTGGTGTCTTACTGTAAATTTATCTAAAACAAAAGTACTTATATTCAATAAGGCAGGCAGACATCTCAAATATAATTTCAAATACAATGGAAAAATTGTTGAATGTGTAACAAAATGTAAATATCTTGGCATTACTTTCTGTTCATCTGGATCATTCTCCTACGCTCAAAATGAACTTTATCAGAAGGGTCTGAAAGCTTATTTTAAACTGTGCAAGGAATTTATTTCTCATTGTCCTTCACCCAAAGTCTAATTACACAATTATGCCAATATTATTATACGGTTGTGAAATTTGGGGTTACTTTAATCCCTTTACGACAAGATTGAAAAAACCCTGATTTGTCGTTTGAAGAAATTTATAAAAGACTTAAATGCGAAGATTTGCATGTTAAATTATGTAAATTTGTTTTGGGTTGTGGGAAAAAGAGTTCAAATTTTGCCTCCTTGTCAGAGCTTGGCAGATTACCCACACATTATAATGTTGTCACTGCAATGCTTAAATATTGGCACCCCTTAGAAAATTTAGATAATCAATTTCCTATTTTAAAAGAGGCCTATTTAACTTCCATAGAGATGTACGAAAATAAACATCCTTCTTGGTATGGCTCTGTGAATATACAGAAAAAAATAATTTTTGACAACCAAACTGACTTAAAGTCAATGAAAACAAATAGTTTTAAGAAGACATGTAAAAAATATATGAAAACTCATTATATAAATCTTTGGAAAAAGCAAAAAACTTCATTATAAGATGGCAAACTGTGTACACACTTCAAGTTTAAACAAAACTTTGGATTTGAAAATTATTTAAATATTATAAAAGATTTTGGGCAGAGGAGAATTTTCACCAGATTCAGAATATCAGCTCATAGACTTCAAATAGAGTTAGGAAGGTATCAAGTTATTATCAGGCAAAATAAATTGTGAACTCATTGCTCATCTGGCGAGGTAGAAGATGAGAACCATTTTTTACTGACTTGTACAAAAAATAAATAAAGAGCTGCTGAACCAATTTGCAGTTTACTTAAGTGTTGTTGTCAATGAAGCGGTATTTGACTTGTACAAAGTATAAAGTTGAGCGTTGTGATCTTATTAATGCTATTAGTATGCAATGTCCTAATTTTACCCAATTACAAAATCCTGAAAAGTTTATTTGGATGATGAGTAATGAAGATAATGAAATTTTATGTAAAATTTGTTGCCTTATAGCCAAACATGAACATCCTAATTAGGGAGCATTGGGACTTCACTTGCACCTGCTACTACTATGCTAGAGTGTTGAATATGTATATATATGCATATGTATATGTATAATTAATTATATACGATTTATTGCTATATGTTAATGTTATGATCTCAATGAAGATTTTATTTCGGTCAGTTAAAAGTTTTTAACATTATATCTAAAAATATTCAATAAATTTTGTGGATTGCTGCCACTGCTGAATGCAGTAACCACTTCCTTGAATGCTTTATAAAAAGTGTGTTGTTAAAAGTAATCATTATATTTAGACAAATAGATGCCTAAACCTTTTGGTATCATCCCTTGGTGATTTTTGCATTAAAGTGATAAAAAAAAAACTTTTGTGCACTAGTCACGAGGAGGTTAAGACAGTATCTAAAATCACACTTGCGAACATGTCCAAGTGCATTTGCCCTTGGTCTCTTTTCCATTATAGTGACTTGTATTATTTATTCCTTCAACTTGCTTTTCTGGATAAGAGACAAGGTGGACCTCTGTTAGCAAACTATATGATGAAATTATTAAATTTTTGTATTTGCACTCTGGCATGGCAGTTAAATCTAAGATATGAAATTTTGAAAGAACTTAACTAACTTATAATAATAACAATAACAATTGTTTTATGCTGTGATATTTTATATGATTATATATATATATTCTATGATAATCTCATCTGCTTCATGTGAATTTTAATTTTATCTTCATTTATATGTTTATGTGCTATGAATGAGAATGTATTGTGTATTGTTGTCATTATGTCCCGTCAGGGGCCCTTAATTGGAAAATAAAGAACTTTGAACTTTGAACTTTTGAACTTATATATAACGGTTTTCAAAATAATAGACAAAACTTGCAATTAACCCGGCCCCTGTTTAATTTTTAGCCATGTCGGCCATGTTTGTTGGTAAGCCGCGGGTCATCGGACACATTTTTGAAACTAGATACCCCAATGATGATTGGGGACACAGAATTTGGCCCAGCAGGTTCAGAGGAGAAGCTTTTTGTAAAAGTTAAAGAACGAAGACGACGGACGCCAAGTGATGAGAAAAATTCACTTGGTCCTTTGGGTCAGGTACGCTAAAAATAAGAAAGACCACGAATAAACACGTGTACTCATTCAGCAAGTGAACACGTGCTTTCTTCAATTATTTTCATCAGTAAATATACACAATGTCTTAGACTTGCTACATGTCCCTTCCTAATTTATTTTTTTTCTTCGATTTTACCCTTGAAACTGTTTTACTGCTATAACTAAAAGATTGCCATTATATTGACACCTGTCGAGTCCAAGGGCAATCAGTATACAGGGGCATTCAGTATCATGGCAGTTTTCAGTAAACATATAAATTAGCGAGATAGAAATAAAAGAAAAGGAATTGCATGTAGCGAGTCTAGCAATGTCTCATTTGGTACATTTATAAACTTGATCAATGCAGACATGACCATATTCTTAGTAAAAACACGATTTAATGAAAGCTTGTAACTTACATGCAAATTTGTTGAACGGTCTAGAATATTTTACATCATAAAATGAATGTTCATGGACCAGGAAGGATAAAATATAAATAGATACAATGTATGTGACGACATGCTACACGTGACTTTAATAAGGTATTAATAAATAGAAACAAAAATGCATAAATTCTTAATTTCACAGATAACTAACTCAAAATAGGCAAATTTGATGAGGTCAGAATATTTATTTCCAATATAAAGGCTGCCAGAATATTTATTTTCCCTCAGAACAGAACGAGGATATTTATTTTCCCTCAGACCAGAACCAGAATATTTATGTTCTTCTCATCCAGAAAAACTATCATTCCTCATAATCAATCTTCACCCCCTAAAGCAGTTAAACTTTTGTGTCTTTTTTTTATATAGGATACACATACAACTTCAAACAAATAGAGCAGTTAAAATGAAGTCTAAAATAGATATTCTATTGATACAAAAATACAAAAGCATTACAATCAAGGGTGGATCCAGGTCCATGGAAAGAGGGGTATTATTATCCAAAAACGTATGATTTCTGGCGAGCGTAGCAAGTCAATTTATTTTTTGGAAAGATTTCTTAAACAAAATTATATTTTCTCAGTTCAAAAGGAGGGAAGTACACTACGCTCCCATAAACTGACAAAACTTCAGTAAAAAAATTACACTTTATAAATTTTATTCGTCCGACGAATTTTTTCTGGATTATCTGTAACTATTGGATACCTTTGTAAATGTGGCGAGCGAAGCAAGTCATAAATAGTTTTGTAACATTTTGAAAATTTCTGGCCAGAATATTTATTTTCATGTGTAATAAGGCAATATTATTTATTTTCACCATTTGCCAGGCCTTCCTTCAGAATCAACTGGTTGTTCCCTAAATCGAACTTTATTTGTAACATGAATGATAAGTTTTCTTTTGATCTTCTAGTGAGTGAACCTCTATTTTACAGTTACTGGTCTAATCTATCCCGCTGTTGACCGTTGTCATAGAGAAAAGCACAATGCATTAATTTCGATCTCAGAAGTTGTTACTGCAATGTATGGCTCCACATCCTTAGACTAGTAAATAATTATAGAGTAAACAAAATGAAATATTAATATCAATAAACAATGTTCATAAAAATTTAAATAAAATACAGATACAACTAATTTACAAAACATTAATACGAATATTCAGTGTATATACACTCATTATTATAGATTATAACTTGCCTTTTCCATATCGGCCATGGTATCAACTTGAGACTCCCATATCAGCCCAATGCGCTAGCCGAGGCTTCATATGGGTCGAGGGATGATACCAGTGCCATTATGGAAAAGGACATGTTATTATCTATTGATCACATATTATACAAATGCTTAAAAAAAGTGGAATCAGTTTTTTATTCCACCTACTATATCAGTGCCGAGTGCCGATTTATCACCTTTATTCTTTTCTCTGTTGTCATTAATAGAATCAGAGGCGGTGACGTCAAAAAGCTCTGACGGCCAAATCATGATGGCTGGCCACGCCCTGTGGTTACATGGCCGCCGTATAACCTGACGCAAAGGGATCGCAACTTCAAAGATGGCTGTCGCCTTAAATATTTTGAGACACAATAGACGGAGGGCAGTTAGAAGATAAAGAGTTTCCCGAAACAGAACAAATTAAGTGGACGAAATAATAAAGAGATCACTGATATCTTGGTCCCGACTTCTTGGTCGACAGAGTATTATTGAGCTGGTTGATGTTCTTGCTCCTCTCCCGATAAGAGCAACGACGAGGATCTTTGCCAACACTTATGCATAAAGTTTTTAAAACATTGAGGTAATAGGCCTAGGATGGGTTCCGACTTAGATAGGAGATATTCACGGGATTCGTCGGTTAGGCGCATTATTTCATCTGCAACAGAGTCAATTATCACGACTCTTCTTTGAACAATAAATATCGTCCTGGACCAAGAATCTTTGATAGAGATTAAGCAAGATTTCCATTGTATGTCGGGAATGCCAAATGTTGTTTCTCTAATTTTTGCGCTTTTTTCGCATTTCTTGATCGGTGTGAGAAAAATATTTCTCCTCACTAGTGAAATATCTGTTCTCGGCAAATTGTTGGTCGAAATTTAATTAAATACGTCAAATTTTCCTGGTTTCTTCTGAATTTCTTATTGTGACGTCATGAAAAAAGGCGACCATGCCTGATGACGTCACATATAAAGAAACTTTCTGCAAATCTTTTAAAAGGAAGGATAAAAATCATTACAGAAACAGATTCCACCACTATGACTCGTGTATTACGATATTTCTCCACTCTCAACAATTAAATTTTAATTATTTAAAAAGCTCGGCAAGCCTCGCGCTTTTTAAAAATATTTAAAATTTAACTGTCTCGAGTGGAGAAATATCGTAATACACTTGTTGCAGTGGTGAAATCTATATTGGTACAATAGATGATACCTTGATTCCGATTACAAGGCCATGTGAAGATAAGCAAACCATTTATAGCAGAAACTATTTTCATAGCGTAAATGTGCACTTTTCATATTTGAGACACAATTGATACAAGGCATTCAAAAGAGTTAACTTACCCTAGATAGAAGCAATATGAGCAACTTAAAAAATATAGAGATCATAGGTACCGACTTGACCGGCAAAGCGTTTTTGAGCTGGTTGATGTTCTTATCCTTCGCCTGGAAGAGCAACGACGATTACCTTTACCATCCACTTTGCATAAATTTTATTCGTCCGACGAACTTTTTCTGGATTATCTGTAACTATTGGATACCTTTGTAAATGTGGCGAGCGAAGCAAGTCATAAATAGTTTTGTAACATTTTGAAAATTTCTGGCCAGAATATTTATTTCATGTGTAATAAGGCAATATTATTTATTTTCACCATTTGCCAGGCCTTCCTTCAGAATCAACTGGTTGTTCCCTAAATCGAACTTTATTTGTAACATGAATGATAAGTTTTCTTTTGATCTTCTAGTGAGTGAACCTCTATTTTACAGTTACTGGTCTAATCTATCCCGCTGTTGACCGTTGTCATAGAGAAAAGCACAATGCATTAATTTCGATCTCAGAAGTTGTTACTGCAATGTATGGCTCCACATCCTTAGACTAGTAAATAATTATAGAGTAAACAAAATGAAATATTAATATCAATAAACAATGTTCATAAAAATTTAAATAAAATACAGATACAACTAATTTACAAAACATTAATACGAATATTCAGTGTATATACACTCATTATTATAGATTATAACTTGCCTTTTCCATATCGGCCATGGTATCAACTTGAGACTCCCATATCAGCCCAATGCGCTAGCCGAGGCTTCATATGGGTCGAGGGATGATACCAGTGCCATTATGGAAAAGGACATGTTATTATCTATTGATCACATATTATACAAATGCTTAAAAAAAGTGGAATCAGTTTTTTATTCCACCTACTATATCAGTGCCGAGTGCCGATTTATCACCTTTATTCTTTTCTCTGTTGTCATTAATAGAATCAGAGGCGGTGACGTCAAAAAGCTCTGACGGCCAAATCATGATGGCTGGCCACGCCCCGTGGTTACATGGCTGCCGTATAACCTGACGCAAAGGGATCGCAACTTCAAAGATGGCCGTCGCCTTAAATATTTTGAGACACAATAGACGGAGGGCAGTTAGAAGATAAAGAGTTTCCCGAAACAGAACAAATTAAGTGGAAGAAATAATAAAGAGATCACTGATATCTTGGTCCCGACTTCTTGGTCGACAGAGTATTATTGAGCTGGTTGATGTTCTTGCTCCTCTCCCGATAAGAGCAACGACGAGGATCTTTGCCAACACTTATGCATAAAGTTTTTAAAACATTGAGGTAATAGGCCTAGGATGGGTTCCGACTTAGATAGGAGATATTCACGGGATTCGTCGGTTAGGCGCATTATTTCAGCTGCAACAGAGTCAATTATCACGACTCTTCTTTGAACAATAAATATCGTCCTGGACCAAGAATCTTTGATAGAGATTAAGCAAGATTTCCATTGTGTGTCGGGAATGCCAAATGTTGTTTCTCTAATTTTTGCGCTATTTTCGCATTTCTTGATCGGTGTGAGAAAAATATTTCTCCTCACTAGTGAAATATCTGTTCTCGGCAAATTGTTGGTCGAAATTTAATTAAATACGTCAAATTTTCCTGGTTTCTTCTGAATTTCTTATTGTGACGTCATGAAAAAAGGCGACCATGCCTGATGACGTCACATATAAAGAAACTTTCTGCAAATCTTTTAAAAGGAAGGATAAAAATCATTACAGAAACAGATTCCACCACTATGACTCGTGAATTACGATATTTCTCCACTCTCAACAATTAAATTTTAATTATTTAAAAAGCTCGGCAAGCCTCGCGCTTTTTAAAAATATTTAAAATTTAACTGTCTCGAGTGGAGAAATATCGTAATACACTTGTTGCAGTGGTGAAATCTATATTGGTACAATAGATGATACCTTGATTCCGATTACAAATTCATGTAAAGATAAGCAAACCATTTATAGCAGAAACTATAGCGTAAATGTGCACTTTTCATATTTGAGACACAATTGACACAAGGCATTCAAAAGAGTTAACTTACCCTAGATAGAAGCAATATGAGCAACTTAAAAAATATAGAGATCATAGGTACCGACTTAACCGGCAAAGGATTTTTGAGCTGGTTGATGTTCCTATCCTTCGCCTGGAAGAGCAACGATGAGGACCTTTACAATCCCCTTTGCATCAAGTTTTAATAACATTTAAGTTTTATGCCAAAGATTGGTTCCCGTCTGAGATAGGATATATTCACGGGATAAGTCGGTCGTCGGTTAGCCGCATTATTTCATCTGTAACAAAGTTAATTGTCACGGTTAATCCTCATACAATAAATTTCCTCCTGGAAAAAGAGATAAGCAAGATTTCCACTGTATGTCTGGGATGCCAAATGATTCAGTTGATTGTACCTGGATTCCGATTGCAAGGCCATGTGAAGATGAGCAAACCTTTCATTGTATACAGAAAGAATTTTCATAGCTTAAATGTGTAAGGCATTTGTGATGCTAAAA